ACCAATTGATAGAGATACAGAAGATAATCCTGGAACTCTGAGCTTTGAAAGGAACTATACAGAAGTGGATTAGGCACCAACTAGTGGAAAAACCTGAATGAAAACATTGAGTGCAGAGATGGTCAGAGCTGCGGACTGTCAGCTACTCTGATGAGACCAACAGCCTGAATATTTCCAAGTGGTGTTGGGACCTGACAATTGACCTAAAGATCAGTCCTGGTCACCAAGGGCTCCAGGGACAACTGCTCTGGTGGCCTATGACTAGGAAGGGAAACAGCAAGGAGGGAGGCAAACTGAGCTGTGAACCTTCTGCTGTCTGAAGGGTGCAGCCATTTGGAATGCTTACAAGCGGCAACCATTTTGGATTTTAAAGTGATAGCATTCTCATTCGGATTCCAGATACCTAAGAACAGGCTCTGTTTGCCAGAGTCAGAAAGGCCACATGAGAGGTTGACAAAGGAAAGGAGACAGGTGGTGAGTGTATAAATGCTGTCAACTAGTGAATAGAGGAGCACAGCACAGTACTTTGCCTGTATAGATAACATACAAAGAAAACAAAAATTGTGGGCAAGTCACTCCAACATATAATCACCAATTAAATATAAACACAAAAATGTCACAATGCCTCGGAGACAACAGAGCATCACAGTCCACACTAAGAAGCAAGATAAAGAAGGAGAAACAAGGGACCAGGATAAAGACCCAAAACACAATCCTGAGGAAGACGCAGCATTGGAACTCTCTGATAAGGAATTAAAAAGAATTATATTTAGGTATCTTCAAAGGATTGAGAGACAGACCAAGGAAAACACAGACAAAACCCTAGAAGAATTTTGGAAGAAAATACAAGAACAAAATGACAAAATAAATGAAAAATTGGAAATGATTCTAAATCTACAGATAGAAATCCAAAAGATTAATACTAAATTGTCAGAAATAGATAACACATTAAAAGAGCAAAGGAAGAGAATTGATGCCATGGAAGACAGAGTTAATGAGATTGAAGACAAATATCTGAATACTTCTTTAGAAAGGGATCAATCAGAAAAAAGATCAAAACAAAATGAAGAAAGCCTAAGGTTCATGCAGGATACCATCAAAAGGAATAACCTACGTGTCACTGGAATTTCAGAACAGGAAGAGAAAAATGAAACCACTGAGAAAATGGTCCAAGATTTGTTGGAGAAGAACTTCCCGGATATGACGAAAGATGAGAACACATCCATTCAGGGAGTCCAACGAACCCCAAACAGGATAGACCCCAAAAGAAAATCACCAAGACATATCATCATCAAACTCACCAAAACCAAAGACAAAGAAAGAATCATGAGAACAGCACGGGAAAAACAAAAAGTTACCTACAAGGGGCAACCAATAAGACTAAGCTTGGATTTCTCAATAGAAACCATGCAGGTGAGAAGACAGGGGGATGGTATATATAAAACCCTGAAAGAGAAAAATTTCCAACCAAGAATTATGTACCCAGCAAAACTGTCCCTCAAATATGATGGTGAAATTAGGACATTTCCAGATAAGCAGAAATTAAGGGAATTTGTAAAACCAGACCAACCTTTTAAGAGATGCTAAAGGGAGACCTTTGGACAGAGAAGCAACAACAGCCAGCAACAACTAACCATTAACACACATGATGATATAATCCAGAAACCAACCCAGCTATGGAAGTATCCAAAGTAAATAAGCCTACAATATTGTAAACAGGGAACTAGAGACACCAACCAACAAATGAGGACAACTACAAACCAAAAAGAGGGAAAAAAATCTGTTACAGAACTTATAGATGGTAGGGAAGTCAAGACAAATACAAGATAGAGCAGACTGTTCTAAACTTGGGAGGAAAACTATAAAATCACAGGGTAACCTCAAAAAAAAAAGATAAACCTTCACATCAAAATAAAAAAGAGGACCAGCATAAATATTCAGCAAATACTGAAACAATAGCAAAGGAAGTGATAACATGATTCATAAACAAAACGAGCTCAGCATAGAAAATTATATGGAACAAGGAAATCAACACAATGAAAAAGCACATGACAAAAATGACAGCAACAAATTCATATTTGCTGATAATTACAATTCAATTGAAAAATGGGCAGAAGATATGAATAGACACTTCACCAAGGAGGATATTCAGGTGGTCAGCTAATACATGAAAAGATGCTCACAATCATTGGCCATCAGAGATTCAAATCAAAACAACAATGAAATATACCATCTCACCCCAGCACTGATGGCAAGGTTCAATAAGACAGAAAATAACAAATGCTGGTGGGGATGTGAAGAGATTGGGACTCTCATACACTGCTTGTGTGACTATAAAGTGACAAAACCACTGTGGAAAGCAATATGGCGATTCCTTAGAAAGTTGGAATTGAGATACCATTTGACCCAACAAATCAATTACCAGGTATATATTCTAGAGAGGTGAGAGCCAGGATAGGAACAGATAACATGCATGCTCATGTTCATCACAGCACTATTTACAATAGCAAAAAGATGGAAACAACCTACTGCTCGTCAGCAGAAGAGTGGATGACCAAACACATAATGGAATGCTATGCAGCACTAAAGAATAATGTAGAGTCTGCAAAACACCACATAATATGGATGAACTTGGAGGACATTATGCTGAGTGAAATAAGTCAATCACAGAAGGACAAATATAGTATTAGTTCATTGCTGTGGAGGGTCAAGGAAAGGTTTATATATAGAGAGGGAAACTTTCTTTGTTGGTTGCTAGGGGTGGAAGGGGAGGGGAGGGAACACTGCAAAAAAAAAAAATCATTGACCCATGTCACTTTAGTTTTGCGTATTTCACTGTACATAAATTATATTTCAATAAAATGCATTTAATAAAATAAATAATAAATTAATTAATTTTTTAAAAAATTTACCACCTCAGAAACCCAAACAGGGTTGCTATGAATCAGAAAACTTGATGACAGTGAGTTTGGTTTGTTTTTTTGTGATACTTGTAAAACATTCTTTTCGCATTCATTTAGTATTTACAATATGCCAACTTAGTTTATTAGTCTCTACTATCAGTTAGTAATTTTACCACTTCCCAGATAATGTCAGACCTTAGAACCCTTCCTTTTATACCCACTACCTTTTGTATTTTGTCATGCATTTTAATTTTACATACATTTAAAACTCTGTATGACATAGTAAGATCTTTTTTACCATGTACCATGTCTCTCATGATTTTGTATTTTCCATCTTCTTTTTATTCATGCTTCAATCTGAGTATATTCTTTAACTAATCACTTCAACTGTGTCCAATCTGATGTTTACTCACCTAAGAAGTTCTTAAATTCAGTTATTATGTTTTAGTTCCAGAATTATTATTTCCCTTTTATTAATAATAATAAAAAATTTAAGTTATCTGAAGAACTTTTTCATAGTGTCATCTATTTTCTTGAACATTTTAATCAGCTATTCTGAAGATCATTTCTAATCTGCTTTACTTCCTCTTGGGAATATTTGCTGAAAGCTCAGGTGGTTCCCCTGATTCTTAGAAGCTGCCCTCTTCCCAGCTTCTCATACTCTAGCCTCACATACAAAATCAGCAAATCCTCCAAGGAGAAAAAGAGTGTGCAGAATGTTAAGCTCCTGTCAGTGAGTTTTCCCTTCTTTCTAGGACCTTGGCTCTTCATATCTTGGTTGTGTTGGCAGCTTTTTAATACCTTCAAACAATTATTTTTAAATTGTTATCTAGCTTGTCTAGGCATTCTCAGTATGCCCACTACTATGCTACAAGAAGTAGAAGTGTGCTGTTCTCTGCTCATTTAAATTTTTTCTTCATGGTCGATAGCCTCAAAATAGGTATTCTTGGGCCCAAGTCTCAGGGGACATCGAGGTCAACTGGCACAACACAGTCCACAAAGACAATGCACCTCATCCTACTTTGGTAAGTTGTGACTGGGATCATAAAAGAGCTTGCAAGCAGCCATCCAAGGTGCAACTACTGATTTTTCTTCCTCTAGAGCAAAGAAGAGTAAAGAGTAAAGAAAGATGAGTAAAGAAAATAAAAGACACATGAAAACAATTAGTCCAAGGACTAATGTCAAACATAAACAGTGATTGTTAATGATGATTAGTCCAAAGGACTAATGGACCAAGTGAACCTCAGGCTTCACAACTGTTAGACTAGAACTAGATGGTGCCCAGCTACCATTACCAGCTGCTCTGAAAGGGATCACATCACTAAAGGTCCTAGATAGAGTGGGAACAAAATGTGGAACAAAACTAAAAATTATGAAAAAAAAAACAGGCTTACTGGTCAGACAGACTGGTGAGAACCTCTGATACTTTGGCCTTTGGTCCCCCTTCGGACCTGGATCTGAACTGACTCCCATAGCTAAATTTTCAGTCAAACAACAGACAAGGTGAACAGTAACTCTGGGAAGGTAGGCACTCCTTAGAACAATCAACCACTTGAAGTCAACAGGGCAATATCTACCCAAGAACAAAGTTCAGAAGGCAGGAAGGGTTAGGAGAGAAGGAGGAATGGAAGAGAGAAACACAGGGAGGATGTGCGAGAAGTGACATTACATTGAGGGGACTGCAATCAATGACATGAAACAAAATGTATGTCATCTGCTGAATGGAAAACTGATTTGCTCTGTAAACTTTCACCCAAATCACAATAAAAAGTTAAAATGAAAAGGTACTCTTTCTCTTTCAATACTCCCAAATACTATTAAATCTTTTTTTCTTTATAGGAAGTTGATTATTAGAACAATATCAAACATAAACAGTGATTGTTAATGATAAATTTCTTCACTCATTATGTTTAAATGGACTGGGTGTTTTTAAATTTTGAATGAATGCAGAAAGTATACAGGCTTTGAATTCAACTGCTACAGTTAACATTAACTTGTACTTATTTTGGAACTCTAATCTCAGACAAACCAAAAGTATATTACTATCATGATAACTGTCTCTGCGGCATTTGATTTCAGGTAGAGGTAAGCACATACCGTATTCTAGTATCTAACAATTCCTTAATCATTGCCACAACTTCATCATCTTCTTCAGATCCTAGAAAACAATCATAAGTAAAAAACACCAATAGTAGAAATTTTATATCATGCATGTTTTAAAATGTTAAAACAAGATTTTAATTTCATGGCTCATTAAAAACATAAAAGCATAGGTATATGACTTGGTATGGTGATATAACCAGTCGTGGGGAATTGGAAAGATCATTTATTTGATTTGTGAAGAAAAATTAAGGAAGCTCTGATCAACACAACATCTGGTGATGAAAGTGATCTTGATCTATTAATCGTGTTAGAGTTTGTAATCTTTTGCTAGTAAAATTGTAAACAGTCATCATTTTTAAGGATTGAAAAGTAGCAGAAAAAAGAGACTTTTGATGAAAACTTTGAGATAAAAAAGCACATCTAGTTTATAAGTTAAGTTACATCCTTAATTTCTCAACTTAGCATTATGAATGAGACAATCATACTAAATCACAGATATAAGCCTTCTATAAATTTCCAAAATGTTCCACAAATCTGCTGAGTACAAAGTGGCTTTCTGGGTTTTTTTTTTTTTTTTTTTTTTGCTTTACTTTGTAAATGAAGTCATTTACTGACATTCATCAATATCTCTATGAGTTTTTAATTTGTTTTTTTAGAAATTTATTTACATTTGAAAAAAACTAAAAATACAGAGAATCTAAATTACACTTTAACAATCACCAGCATTCTGGCAACCTCATAACTAAACAAATATCAGTATTAAATTATACTAACATTGAGTATTTTTTTGATGAAAGAAATAAAACATAATAGATACCACCACCATCAGCTTAATAGGCATCCACTATCATGAATTTTGTACCTATCTTTCTAGGACATGTTTATATTTGCATGTGTAAATTTATACAAATGAGATCGTGTAACAGTTATATCTTGCTCTTTCCTATTTAACATATTTTGAAAGTCTTTCCATATCAACAAATACAGATATGCCTCAATTTTTAAAGTCAGACGCATAGTAATCTTTGTATAAATTTGTCTTATTCAGCAAGTCACTTCGTTATTTCAGTTATTTCAGGTTTGTCACTATTTTTAACAATATTTTAACATACTTGCTTGTATAAATATATATATATTAGTGTACTTTTACAAACATATGAGGTAAATTCCTAGTAGTAAGATTTTGAGTCAATAGACTAGTGTTATTTTTAAGTTTGACAGAAAAAGCCAATTACTCTCTTAGAAAGTTTTATCAATTTTATATATAACTACTTCATGTGTTATTAAAAATTTAGATAAATGGTTATCATAATGGCACATATCCTACTGCAACACTCCTTTTACCTAGTATCTTATATCTTTTAGTGTTGCTATCTTTAGTTTTGGCTCATTCCTTTTAACTGCTGTTGTAGTTAAAAAATATTTTAATGAACATGTTTTTACATTCTGCCTTGTCCACATTTATAAAACATTTCAGAGCATATATCTAGAAGTGAAACTACATCACCTAAAGATGATTATACAAATGTGTGTGTGTACATATATACACACACATAAACATTCAGTTTTTACAGTCAATGCTTATTTAAACTTATCAACTACTAGAACAAATGAAGAGTTCAACAAAGTTGATGGATATAAGATCCATATATAAGAATCAAGTACATTCCTATTATCTCTCAAACCACAATTAAAAAAAAACTAATTTTTTTGAATACAGTAAAGATTTATAAGTGCCTACTAAAGAAAACAAGTACCATATATGGTATCAACAAAATCTATACAGTACCTAGAATTAGATATAAAAATATAAGTGAGATCTGACCAAGAAAAAAAGTATGTGAAGTCCCAAATAAATGGGAAGTTTTTTTGGATGGAGATAATCAATGTGGAAAGAATCTCAATTCTCCCAAATTTACCCTATAAATGCAATGCAATTTCATTCAAAATTGTCTAACTTCATATGATGATTATAAAATTCACATGGTTGAATAAAAGGACTAAAGAAACAAAAAATTTGGGGGGAAAGGAAAAAAAGTGGGGAGATTTAACTGCCAGAGATTGTTATATATTACTATTATCCATCCCCCATTCATTCCGTTACTGTTGAGTCAACCCAGACTCATGGCAACCCCACTTATGTCAGAATAGAATTGTGCTTTACTATATTTTGAATAATAGTTTTTGAAACTGATACAGACAGCACGGTGTAGTGGTTAGCAGTATGAACTTTGGAGCCAAACTGCTTAGCATTGATATCCTACTATGCCACTAAATAGCTGTGTGACCTTGAAAAAGTTACTCACTCTTTCAGTGCCTTAGTTTTCTTATGTGTGAAATGAAATGATAGTAGTATCTAACTCATAGGATTATGTTAAGAATTAATTGAGTTTGTATTTGAAAAGTGCTTAGAACTGTTCCTGGAATACAGTAAACCATTTATAAGTGCAGTAAACCACTAATAAGGTTTTAATGGCCGATTTTTCAGAAGCAGATTGCCAGGCCTTTCTTCCAAAGTGCCTCTGGGTAGATTCAAATCTCCAACCTTTTGGTTAGCAGCAGAGCATATTCACTATTTATACCACCCAGGGCCTCAAAGCTATGGTTGTTGTTAGGTGCCGTCGAGTTGTCTCCAACTCATAGCGACCTTATGCACAGCAGAACAAAACACTGCCCGGTCCTGCGCCAGCTCCATGATCCTTGCTATACTTGAGCCCATTGCTGCAGCCACTGTGTCAATCCATCTCGTTGAGGGCCCTTCCTTCCTTCGTCAACCATCCACCTTACCAGGCATGATATCTTTCTCCAGGGAATGGTCCCGTCTAACAATATGACCAAAGTAAGTGAGACGAAGTCTGGCCATTCTTGCTTCCAAGGAGCATTCTGGCTGTACTTCCTCCAGGGCAGATTTGTTAGATCTTTTAGTAGTCCATGGCACTCCCAGCTTTCTTTGTCAGCACCACAACCCAAAAGCATCATTTCTTTTTCTGTCTTCCTTATTCACTTTCCAGCTCTCACATGCATATGACGAGACTGAAAATACCATGGCTTGTGTCAGGCACACATTAGTCCTCAAGAAGATATCTTTGCTCTTTAGCACTTGAAAGAGGTCCTTTGTAGCTGATTCGCTCAGTGCTACATGTCATCTGATGTCCTGACTGCTGCTTCCATGGTTAGGGAGAAGTTAATTGTTTTGTATTTACCTAATAAAGGATTAATACTCAAAATATTTTAAAAAATATTGCTAAAAATCAATACAAAAAAGCCCAAAAAATAAAAAACCAAACCAAACCCATTGCCATCAAGTTGATTCCAATACACAGTGACCCTACAGGTCAGAGCAGAACTGCCCTATAGGGTTTCTTAGGCTGTAAATCTTTATGGAAACAGACTGTCCCATCTTTTCCCTGTGGAGCAGCTAGTGAGTTTGAACCTCAACCTTTTGGCTACCAGTTGAATGCTTTAACCACTATGCCACCAGAGCTCCTCACAAAAAGACACAAAACTCAATTTTAAAAAATGGGCAAAGAATATGAATAGACAATTTAATGATAAGGTAAATAAATGGCTAGTAACACTATGAAAACCTTCATGCTCAGTATTAATCAGGGAAATGCAGTTAAAATAAGATACCACTCCACACCTAACATACTGGAAAAAAGAAAAAAAAAAGTAAAAGTAATAGTAGGTGATGATAAGGATATAAAAATTTGGGTATTTTTGTGCATATAATTAGAGCAATCATTTTAGGGGGCATCTACACATTATCTAATAAAGTGTAGACCCTTACAACACAGCAATTCCACTTCTAAAAGATATACTGTAAAGAAACTCTCCATATATGCACAGGAAGACTTATACAAAGATGTCCACTATAGCAATATTTAGAAGCTCTGGTAGCATAGTGCCTAAGGCACTTGACTGCTAACCAGAAGGCTGGCGGTTCAAACCCCCCAGCCACTCCTCGGAACGAAGGTTGGGCAATCCTACTTCCGTAGTGATACTGCCTCGGAAACCCAAGGAGGGGTCGCTATGAGTCGGGTCCGACTTGATGGCACATAACAACAACAACATAGCAATATTTATATTAGAAATTAGTACAAACAACTCAACTGGATATAAAGAAACAAATTAATTAACTGTACTGTATTCACATAATGGAATACTCTCCAGCACTTAAAATGAATAAACTAGATCTACATCTTTCAAAATGGATGTATTTCAGAAATATTATATTCAGTGAAAGAAGTAAAATCAGTGAAAGAAGTAAATGACAGTATAACATAAGTTATTGAAAGCTAAAAAACAAAACCTGCAGAGACTTAGAAGTACAGAAGTAGGAGGAAAAACAGATGGAGGCTGTAGGGCTTTAGCTGTATCTTTAACATTTTATTTAAAAATAGGTTCATAGAAACTAAAGAAAAAGCTAACATTTGGTAAATCTGAATGGAGGGCTAATTGGTAAGCATTATTTTCTGTATGTTCAAAAATTTCAAAACTTAAAGTTAGTTTTGTATAATAGATTCCATTTGTACACAAGTTTTCAAAAATGAAGGTAACACTAGTAATAGATGAAGTTTTTGTTTCTTCTGGAGTTTGTTCCAGAGCTAATTAAATTAAATGATAAAAGACTGTATCCCCATTACTTCCCAAACCAGAGCAAAGGTGAGTAAAGTAGAGAAGTCTAAAATAAAGGATAAATATTAATTATCCCACATGACATGTTACCTGCTTCTCCTGAAGATGTTTCCTCAGTAATTAGGGGTAAGCCAGATGCAAAGAAGTCCATGATTGTTGCATAAATATCTGGTTTCAATAAATTCCAGTCTAACTCTTCACTTTCCTGTGAACATTTGACAAAAAATACTGCAAAATTTTCATTCAATAACAAAGATAAATACAGAAAAGTATCTTGTATTTTTCAAGAATCTTTTTTTCTACCTGCATCCTCCTATGCAAGCATACCCATTCTGGAGAACACATGTCAGTTCTGAGTTCAGGTCTTACAAAGCCTAACTCATAATCTTACACCATTCATTCATTCATCACTTTTATTAAATGTGCCATACACTGTGCAGGGACACCAAAACGATTAAAAGATATTTTTTTCATGATGTGAAGAGAGCTGAAATACTGAACGGATTCTCTATCTTTAAAGACGATGATAAAGAGACTCCCATTCTTCTCAAAGAAATAAGATATAAGTGTAAGATCAAATATATAGCATACCCTGAAACTATTCAAAAAATTAAAATTACATATGTTACTAAAGAGTACTGAAGAAACTTGACGCAACTGTAGAATGAAAACATGTAGCATGTCTTACCTAGGGCTATACTGCTGGAAGACTTGTGGACTGTCAGCATGACTGACATCCATGAGAAAGAGGCGATAACTGTTTTACTTCTATACCTGGCCAACTAGTTGATTCCATAATAACAGATAGGATTATTAAATACTTAAATAGTACAGTAGTCCCCCTTTTCTGTAATTTTGTTTTCTAGTTTCAGTTATTAGTGGTCAACTGTAATCCAAAATATTAAATGGAAAATTCCAGAAATAAACAATTTAAATTAAGTTTTAAATTGTGCACTTCTTGGAGATGCATGATGAAATCTCATGCAAACCCACTCCATCCCACCTGGGATGTGAATCATCCCTTTGTCCAGCATGTCCATGGTGTATATGCTACACACACTTTTGTCACTTAGTAGCCATCTCATTTATCAAATCAGTTGTAAAGGATTTGTCACAGTATCACAGTGATTGGTTCATGTAATCTTTATTTTACTTAATAATTAATATCTTTTATTACTAGTTACTGTTGTTAATCTCTTATTGTGCCTAACTAATAAATTAAACTTTATCATAGGTATGTGTCTACAGGCAGTCCCCAGGTTATGAATGAGACTCATTCCTAACTGTGCCTTTTAAGAATTTGTAGGTCAGTAAGAACACATGTATATGGTTCTTATTTAGCCTTACTTTAGTGCAAGGAGCTCTGATGGCACAGTGATCAAAGCAGAGCAGTTCAAACCCACCAGACACTGCACGAGAAAGAGATGAAGCAGTTTGCTTTTGTAAAGATTTACAGCCTTGGAAACCCTTTGGGGCAGTTCAACTCTGTCCTGTAGGGTCATTATGAGTCAGAATCAACTAGACAGCAGTGGGTTCTGGGGTTTAAATCAAGAAAAGTCTCAAAGCTTTTTCAATGATTTAAAAACTATATGTGCAGCAAGTGAAGGTGATTGTGATGATGAATTTGTTGCAAGTAGAGGGGTTGGTTCAATAATTTCACAGTGAGGAAAGAGCTATGGTTACTAAACATAAAAGATTTTGAGCTGAAAAAGCTGTTCCTTGATCAAAGACAGCAATTTCCCATTGACAGATGGCAGCTGACCATGTCTCTTTGAAAGTGTGTGGCTCTCCATGGTCCTGCCAATAATCCAGTCTTATGCATCATATCCTGAAGGGCTCACTATGCCTCTTCTGAGTCTTATTCTAAGGCTTCAACTTGCCATCATTCCCATTTCACCCCAACTGATTCAGGTCTGTTCCTGTTTTCCTTTGTCGGCCATGACAGAACTGGTTTCAATTGGTTCAAAGCCCTGCTTAGAGGCAAAGTAGGAGTTGTCCATAAGTTGGACGTCTGTAACCCAGGGACTGCCTGTTTAAAAACAAACATAGTATAGATAGGGTTTGGTACTATCTGCAGTTTCAGGCATCCACTGGGGATTTTGGAATGTATCCCCCACAGGTAAGTGGGGGACTAACATCTGGTAAGAGAAAGACAACATGTCTTTTATTTGTTTTCTAAAGGAGAGCTCTTTAGGAGAAAAAAATTAGATATAGTCTATTTAGATTCTCAGGATGCCACTGGCTAGAGTCTATGCAGAAGTAGTATTACAAAATGAGTCAACGTGGATAAAAGAACGATTTTTGTCATGGACTAGAACCAAATTAGAGACAGTATACAAAAGGTAACATAAAGGAATATTGTTGTTGTTACGTGCCATGGAGTCAGACTCGACTCATAGCAACCCCTCATTAGGTTTCCAAGGCGGTATCACTACAGAAGTAGATTGCCCAACCTTCCTTCTGAGGAGTAGCTGGTGGGTTTGAACCACCAGCCTTCTGGTTAGCACTCAAGTGCCTTAGACACTACACTACCAGAGCTCCTTAAACGAACATTACCATGGATATAAAACTAAAACCAGTGAGATGTGCAGGCAATTGGGAATGGGAAACATTTTGATAAATTATTTTGAAGATGAATCAGAGTGGCACCTCTAGATCTTCAGTAAATAGTGGACTCTACTGAGTAGGGAACTACTGATGACAAAAAGAATATTCTGAAGTTACTTGAATGACAGGAAAAGCACAGCAGATATATATATGTATTTAGAAAAAAATAAGTGAGATATAAGGAAGCTTCTGAGTTATCTATTACAAATCAGTAAAGGAAACAGGCTATTACTGAGATATTAGATAAAGAAAATAGTTCCTAATGTGGGAGGTTACTGAAAGAGAACAAATCAAATCTACTACTCTACCTATTAAATACCAGTGTGTGCCCTAACTTGGAGTATTATCTCGTTTAGGTCATTTCACTTTAAAAAAAAAAAAGCAGATCTGAAGAAATTTCAAAAAAGTTAAATAAATAATGAAAGGAAAGGGAAAGAAAAGATGATTTATCAAAATCAAATCAAGAAAAACAAAAAAGGAAGAAAACCTTGCATAGTTTTCAGCTATAAAAACTTTTATATTATAGCCTCTATGTAAAAGAACTAAATAAAAAAAATTAAATATGTAATTTCCCATTATAAAACAAAGGCAGTATCTACTTGTAATTAGATAATATATGTAAAACATTTAGCATTATATCTGGCATGTCAAATACCAAATAAAGTCCTATCTCCTTAATCCCTTTAAAAATTATGAAAGGATAACATACTATACAAAACATTGTTCCACCT